GGAGGACGGGGATGTTCTGGTCTAAATAGGTACTTAAAATACCTATATATCAGCCTTACATTAATTAATTATGTACTGGATTGTTTTTTTTGGCCGGCCTGAAGCTTCTTGCAGGACTTCGTCGCCCATCCGCTCTACAAGTACTGGAACTTTGAGCATGCCGCCGATGACGGGGACCAGTCGACGTTCGGGGTCGTGCGGTACCTGAAGACGGACATTCGCCTTCGGCTTCCGAAGGAGATCCGCGGGTTCCCGATGAAGGGCCCCCACCTCTTCTTCACGGCCTTCGTGAAGGGCTGCATCAGCATCCCCATGACCCACGTCATGGAGCACAATGGGGCCGAGGCGGGTCCTGAGAGGCCCCTCTTCTTCGAGGCGGTTCCATCAGGCTCGTCTTCGACTTCGCCTTCGAAGCCCAAGGAGGCCGAGCAGCAGCCCCCGCCGGCTACGCCGAAGAGGAAGGCTCGCTCCGACCCGAAGACTCCCGGGTCCGGGCGCTCGGGCAAGGACCCGGTGAGCCCGCCGCCTTCGTCCGGCAAGCGCAAGCGCTGAGCCGGTCGTCTTCGTGGTTTTGGTCTTCGCAAAGACAATGGCCTTCGTCTTGGATTCGCTCATGTCCTAATTCTCACCAATACTCACTGCCACGAGTCCGAGTATAATCATTATTACTTTATTAGTACCTAGTAGTACGACTAGCCGTACTAGTACTTGTAGTAGTACTGTCGTAGTAGTAGTACTAGTCCTAGTAGTAGTAGTAGTACTAGTAGTAGTACTAGTCCTAGTAGTAGTAGTAGTAGTAGTAGTAGTAGTAGTAGTAGTAGTAGTAGTAGTAGTAGTAGTAGTACTAGTAGCAGTAGTAGTACTAGTAGTAGTAGTCCTAGTAGTACTAGTGGTAGTACTAGTAGTAGTACTAGTAGTAGTAGTAGTAGTAGTAGTAGTAGTAGTAGTAGTAGTAGTAGTAGTAGTACTAGTAGTCGTTGTAGTATTAGCACTCGTACGACTAGTACTAGTAGTCCTAAAGGTAGTAGTAGTTGTAGTAGTAGTAGTAGTACTACTAGTAGTAGTAGTAGTAGTGGTAGTAGTAGTAGTAGTAGTAGTACTACTACTACTAGACTAGTGGTGATGTACTACTGCAACACGTCGTATTCGACAAAGGCCGTTGTTTTTGCAGTGACTCTCTAGCCTGATGAGAGATTGTCTGCTGGGGCCAGCCCGGACACTGAAGTCCCCGTGTCATTCGCTGTGGCCTTGGTCGTGTACTGTACACATACTCATGTTAGTCAGTCAGTAGTAGGATGCAAATCGTCCTTCGACTAAAGGCCTTGCCATCATCGAACATGGGGATGCAAGTGCATCGCTGGCGGTAGCCTAACTCACAGCTTCAGATTTTGATGAGCTCGGATGGCATGTCGCCGCTGGGGCCAGCCCGGTCACTGAATTCTCCATGTCATTCGCAGTGGCCTTGGTCGTGTACTGTATACATCCTGATCTTAGTAGTAGGGTGCAAATCGTCCTTCCACTAAAGGCCTTGCCATCATCGAACATGGGGATGCAAGTGCATCGCTGGCGGTAGCCTCACTCACAACTTCAGATTTTCATGAGCTCGGATGGCATGTCGCCGCTGGGGCCAGCCCGGACACTGAATTCTCCATGTCATTCGCTGTGGCCTTGGTCGTATACTGTTTACATACTCATGTTAGTAGTAGGATGCAAATCGTCCTTCGACTAAAGGCCTTGCCATCATCGAACATGGGGATGCAAGTGCATCGCTGGCGGTAGCCTCACTCACAGCTTCAGATTTTGATGAGCTCGGATGGCATGTCGCCGCTGGGGCCAGCCCGGACACTGAATTCTCCATGTCATTCGCTGTGGCCTTGGTCGTGTACTGTACACATACTCATGTATACCTAACATATAGTCGTAGGTTGCAAATCGTCCTTCCACTAAAGGCCTTGCCATCATTATCGAACATGGGGATCAAGTGCATCGCTGGCGGTAGGCTGACTGTGAAAATCTCATTCACAGCTTCAGATTTTCATGATCTCGGATGGCATGTCGCCGCTGGGGCCAGCCCGGACACTGAATTCTCCATGTCATTCGCTGTGGCCTTGGTCGTGTGATGTACACATACATACTCATGTTTTCATAACATGTAGTAGTAGGATGCAAATCGTCGTTCCACTGAAGGCCTTGCCATTGTCGAACATGGGGATGCAAGTGCATGGCTGGCGGTAGGCTGACTGTGAAAATCTCTCTGAAGCCGCCTCAAGGCATGAAAAAATACTGCTGTCTCGGCTGACTGTGCGGCAAATTTGGTTGATCGCTCAAGCCTGTTGTTTCTCATTGTTGCTGCTTGCCAGGCTATGCCGAAACCGGGACTTCTCAGCCCGCAACTCAATCACAGTTTCGCTCATGTCGGAAGGATGTTAACTGCAGGAAGTTGCCTCGCCGATTCTTTTCTTGTTCAGACAACCGTGTCATGACAGCTGCCCAGGTTGATGGATCTCCCGGCGTCTTGGTCTCTCTCCTGGCGACGACTTCGGCTTCGCCTTCGATTCGGTTTAATTGAATTCTATTTGTGGAATCCACTAAGAATGATTCATACTTGTCGAGCAAACGTCTATGTGAACCTTTACTAGATATGTTCTACCAATTGGAAGGATAGTTTCCGAATATCCTGACTGCCAATCAAAATGAAACACCCTGCCTGCTCCCCCTGCTGTGTCCATGTCATTTCATGTCCAAAAGGCTGCGGTGGTAATTTAAAGATACACCCAGGTTTTGCAGTGGTGTTTTTGATTTCTTGATTCCTGCTAATACAATTTATTTTTGTTTCTCTGTTGGAGCCATAGAAAAGCTTCCTTTGAAAAAGTAGATGCATTTGATTGATTACTACAAACAAAGTTCTCCAGAATCACGTTGTCCCCCCAGCCCCCCTGCTGCTTCACAATCCTCACATTACCCACAGCTGTTGCCGAAGACACAGAATCCCACGAACCCACTACGAACCCCCGGACCTTCTACGAAGTTCGCGGCAGCCGTTTGCTTAAAACGAAGTTCGCGTAAGGGCTGTCCTTCCCCCGCAGGCCGTTACCCCTCACCGTTTTGCCCTTGACCAACCCCGAGGGCAGGGACCCAGATGTAGACGCCAAGGCGCGGACGGAGGCCGTAGGGACTCTACCAGGGAGTGACATGGCATCCTTTGCAAAGTGCAGCTCACTGAGGCTTGCAAATCGCAAAGGGATCAACGCCACGGCTTCAAGCTGGCCGTTGAGGAGCATTGCAAAGCTCCGAGGCTGAGAAAAGGACGGCTGGGACTGCATGCTGCTTCTCACAGGATTAGGCGCACACTTGCTGGGAAAAGGCTGAAGAAAGGTCGGGCACCAGGCAAGATTTGCCAGAGAGCCTCGCAGAACAGTGAACAGGAACAGCATCTGGGTTTAGAATGCTTCAGATTCCAAGAATGTTGATCACACCGTTACCAAGGTCTTCCGAGTTTATTGCTGGCTTGCGCTGAGCTTTGTAGGGGCTATTTTGCCTGGTGCCAGAAGCGCGGTAATTTTGGCCTGCAACAAATCAGGCAGCTGCGAGGATTCCCTGCGGGCCGGGGTTAGGGTTTAGGGGTTAGGGTTCAGCAGCTCCGGATCGAGCAGTATCTAGTTAAGCTAGCGGTTTTGGATTTAAAAACAACCCACCCGCCCAAAGAATCCCATAACATTAAGAAAATATACACTTTGTCATTTAACCAGAGATTAAAAGGAACGCTACCGAAACCCTAAAGTCGAAATCTTAAGCCTACGGCCGCACCCTAAAGCCGAAACCCTAAACCCTAAGGCAACAACCCACTATGGCCGAAACCCTAAGGCAAAAACCCTCTGGTATTCAAATATACATATGAGAGAGAGGCTCAGGGTGTAGGGGTTAGGGTTTAGGGTTTGTTCAGGGCTTCGGGTTTTAGAGTTTAGGGCTTAGGTTTATTTAGGGTTTGTTTTCGGGCTTAGGGGGTTACGGCTTAATGTTTAAAGGCTTTAGGGCTTAGGGTTTACCGGTTAGGGCTTAAGGTTTGTTCAGGGCAAAGGGTTTTCGGGTTTAGGGCTTAGGGTTTTTTGGGCTTGGCTTAGGGTTTAGGAGGTGTTTAGGGTTTCGGGTTTAAGGAAGGTTGCGTCTTAGGGTTTCGGCTTAGGGTTTAAGGCAGTCCTCAGGGCTTTGGGTTTAAGGCTTAGGGTGTAAGGGGCTTCGGCTTGGGTTTAGGGGTTTTCGGGTTTAGGGGGCTTCGGCTTAAGGCTTAGGGTTCGAGGTCTAGGGCTGGCGTCAGCCATCAAATAACAGTACTACATCGTGGGCAGATCCGGGCCGAAGAAGCAGAGCTCAACATACTCTGGCACAGCAGACCGGAAACCCAACAAGAACCTCAGACCATTGGTATGCACTGGTCTCAGGTACAGGACCAACCTCTATGGCTCACAAGAACCTGAGACCATTGGTAAACAAAACCATAAACCTAGCCACCAACATGCCTCATTTAGCCGTGCAGCTGCACCAATTTCAAATAGCTTGGGTCACAGCTGAGAAGGTTTTGGAGTCACAGATGAGGGAACATTTTGGAACACAGATGAAGGGTGAACCCCTGGAAGACACAAGTTGTCAGGAGGGGCGACAAAGGTGGATCCGTGGGGAGTGGGGGGCACTGGATGTATGTATGTATGTATGTATGTATGTGCGTATGTGTGTATGTGTGTGTATATATATACACATATTCATATGCCAGATGGTTAATGCCATATATTAGATGTATATGTATATGTCTATGTATCTTGAAGCGAGAGCTTAGAGTTTAGGCTGTTTTGTTGAAGGGTTTCGAGCTTCGGACTAAGGGGGGTTGGGGCTCAGGAGTTTAGGTTACAGGCTTTGATGCTGCGGGTTGAAGTTGAAGGGCTTAGGTCGACGGAACCTGAGTCACTCAGGTGTCAAGGTCCCACTCCCACATGCGTCCGAGTTTCAGCACGGCCGATCCCCCTTCTTCGTCCCAGTAACCGTTTCCTAAGATGCGAAGAGAAGCAAAGGTTGGGCACAGCAAGCGGAGGTCTGACTCTGCAATTCCCAAATTTCATGGGATACCCGAAAGTTCCTACATCCCAATAACATCCTCACCAAAATACCAAATGCTGTGTACTGGGGAGCTCAGTCACCGTTATGGTGGAACTCTGTCGGAAAGCCGGTATCCCATGATCTCTTCTGACACCACTGCCTGAGCCGACATTGCTGCTTAGATTTCACAGTTCAGAACTTTTGGCTTGCGAGTGTAGGGTTCGAGGGTTTAGGGCCTACGGATTTGGTATTCTCTGGCCTCGTAGTAGAAAGAAACATTCTTGAACATAAGGTGCCAGTGAGGAAAGCATGTTACAGTAATTACTTGACTTACACATCTGGGCGTCGTATAAGGCAAAGGGCATCGGGTTAGGCCTCGAAGGAAAAAGGTTTAGAGGATAGAGGCTTGCTCAAGATCTACGGTTTACGGGTGCCTAGTCTGTCTGGCATAATTTATGCAGGATTTGGTGAGTTTCGATGCGTTTCACATGGGCTTCTAGTAAAGCATCGAGAACAAGTTCATGAAACTATTGAATACACTTCGGCGACCACAGCAAGTTCTTACGTACCCGTACAGTCGAGCTGGCCGGGTGTACGGTGGCTGGCCCTCAATCTCCGAACCCAGCACTCTGAGGGCATAAAGCAAAGCCATGACCCACGGTCCAGCCCTCGAAAGAATCGGTGGCTCCGCACAAACCCTTAAATCACAGGACATCCTCAGACACTGACTCCTCCACAAATCGAGACAGATTCGCAAAACCACGGCGGAGTCAACATCTAAACCCAAGTTCGACATCCAAAACAAAAGCCAGCGTCGATGCTTCCACGTTGAGCTCGGTAAGTTCTATTTTATTCAGATTGCGGCTCCTTGGAGAGAAAATGCGGCGAAAAGAAAAGCAGCAGGTCCAAAGCTTTCGGGGATAGGTTTTGTTCTTCGAGCTTCTATAGATCTTCGGTGTTGGCGAGCGATAAGAGAGCGGCTAGCACCCAGTAAAGGTATGGTGGAGTGCTTCCGGTTCACAACGCAAAAACAACTACACCCCAACCCTCCTGAAAACCCCTAACCCCATTGGACATTCGGGATATTTACAACCACATTCCAACCCAGTGTGGTAAATTCCAAAGATAAATATATATATATATACTTTGCTGGGTTTTGAAGCAACTTACAGGCACGTTGAAAAGGTCTCCCGAAGCCTCTTCACTGATTCTGGAAACCGGGAGTTGTTTGTTTTGGGCACTGTCTGCACGATGTGTAGTTTGGGGTTTAAGGAGTTCATGCCGATGGATACGCACAGGTTTGCTTAGGGCTGAGCGTTCAATGCTTCGGGACTCGCGGGCGAGGCTTTGGGGTTTCCACGAACGGGTGCAGAGAGGATTGAACAAGATCTCTCTTCCCCGTCGATGTCCCCAACAAGCTTTAAGAAACGGACACAAAGGACACACTGAACATTCCTACATTTCCGAATGCATCCGAAAGCCTAACTCCTAAATCTTCGTCCGTTAATCCGTAGGCCCTCGGACCTACACCCCCCTCTCAAACTTCAGTACTAACAGCTTCTCAGGCGACTCACCACTGGACCCCAAATTCAGAAAGCCCACATGCGCACTACTTGGATGGGCGGCGCTTGGTTACCTCGGGTCCTTGTTGCATTGCAGCATAGACATGCGTTAACGCGAAACGAGCCCACATGGACTAGGGCAAGGCTGAACGAAACAGAATGCCCTCAATGCTCATGCCTCAACATCTATCCGTCACAAAACTCTGCGTTCGAAACCATTTTGTTGCAACAAGCCGTCTCCTACATCATAAACTTGAATGCCCAGTAAAAGGCCACGGCAGGGGAAGCCGATTTTTTCAATGCAGCTAGAAGGTTTGAAGGTTTCTTTTTTGCTACTGAGCCGGTCTATACTGTCAAGCCTTATGTAGTTACATTTTCGTTACCCGGTGAGTCCAACAGCGAAGAATCTCCGATTGTGGCAGCCCAGATAGTTCAATGCATGGGTATTGGGAACAAAGGCAACTCTATAGTAAGGCTTCTAACTTGTTGTATCAAGTCAAGAGACACGATCATCTTGTATTCGGAATGAACCACCTCTGGCTCGAAGCACAAGAGGCCGAGATCCTTTGGTGATGCTGGTGGTTTAGTTGCTCCAAGGTTTACATAAGGCTGTGTTTTCCGGTTCCCACTCACTTCTACTGGTGTTATCATCACCTTCAGTTTCGCAATGCTCAGTAGCAGCACCATGAACACTATCGCAAAACATTGTCGAACTAGTAGTGCTACTAGAGTTGCTGCATCGACAGTGTTTGTTTTTCACCATTGCTCAGGGTCGAGAAAAGACTCCACACGAAATCGAACTGTCCTAGGCCCCAGGGCGCAGAAGCAACATGAAAATTGAATTAGCATAGAAACAAACAAGCTCTGTTTGTTTGTACTGCACCATAAACACCAACTTGCTTTTTCCGTTTCTAAACGTTTACTTCTGCTGACCTATCTTCGGTTGTTAACCCTACTTGCATCATGGTCAGCCTTGTCAAAGCTTCGTTGCGTTCTTGTTGTCACTTGCTCGTAAAACCATTGAGCGGTGCTTTTCGATTGGGGATGTCAGAAAAAATCGTGGGCTTACCTAGGGAAAGCTGACGGCGAAAAGTAGACGTGTTCAAAACTGTACCCAAGGTCCTACAACATCTTGACCCTTTTGAAACCAACGCAAAAACTCTATATAGTGCAATCTTACTACAACTTTGGTAAGGTATGACCAGCAAGGCGCGCCCAAAGCGATGCCAGCAGCAAGATGCCGGTTGCGACAAGCCTTTTGTGCCTGCAAGCATTGAGGCAGGCGGTGTTGGTTAGGTTGAGAAGATAAACACGATGACATGATCAAGCTTGAAGATGGAGATGGAAGCTAGGTCATGAAGATGAAGGAAGAGGGCGAGCGAAGGTTTTGGGAAGATGATCGGGTGAACAAGGGAATGAAGGAAAGTAGAGAAGGGGTCGAGGAATAGAAGGGGTGATGATCCTCACGAAATCTTCAATCGCAAGCAGTGTCGCCCTCGTCACTTCTGGTGTTGATGTTGTTGTTGAAACCCTCCATCGCAAGCGGTGTGGGATTAAGGGAAGCGGGGCCGTAAGGGTAGTGGGCTTAGGTTTCCATGTTTTGGAGGATCGAGTGCCTAGTGAGTGTGTGAGGGTTCTGGAGAAGATTGCACTTGACGTCCCGCTCCTGGGCAATGACTTCGAAGGCTTCGGTGAGGTTTGTGGCGGATATGTCAACTTGCCTGGATGCGGAGCTTGGTGAAGCTTTGTAACCACGTACTGTCCATGCGGATGGTAAGTTGAGGATGCCTGCTGTGTTGTTGCTGCGTAACCTGAAGGCAAAGACCCCAAAACCAGATCCCACTATCGCTCAAAGCAGCTCCACCGAAGGATGCTCGGAAGTTTGGGCAAAGGCATGGCTGGGCCTAATGGGCTTGGTGTCGGTCCAAGTTCCAGGATTGAGCGTTGAGGGCTTCAGGGTAGCTAGAGAGACCAGACATGCGGCACGACCGTTGTAAGTCTTGGTGCTGCAACACAATCCTCGAAGAGCGGCTTCACTAGTTCATGATCATGCAGCACTTGTTCTGAGCACCTCAAGCCAGAGCCGAACAAGTATCTGGACACTACGTTTTTCAATTTGGGACATTGCTCTTGTAAAGCGTACTTTGAAGAAGGGCACATGGGTCGCCTGAGGCATTTGCTCCATAGATCCTCCCGGAAGTCTGGGAACCCACCCGTCGGGCTGCCAAGATAAAACATGTTTGCTGTGTGTGCGTGTGTATGTATGTATGTGTATGTATGTATGTATGTATGGGTATTAGTATGGATTTATGTATGTATCTTAACATAAACATCTACAGGCATATAATATATATATATATATATATATATATATATATATAAACATACATACATACATACATACATACATACATACATACATACATACATATGTAAACATATGTAGGTATACACACATATAGCACACATACACACAACATTTTTGTGTATAAGCAGTGTGTATGTATGTATGTGTATATATATATATATATATGCACACAGACATACATACATACGTACATACATACATATAAATATAAATACATATATATATATATATAAATATAAATATATAGTATATATATATATACACATATATAAGTGATAGGCACATAGATAAGGCAGACTGATTGATGGATAGATGATAGGTAGGTAGGTAGACAGACAGACAGACAGATAGCTAGATGGTATGTGGCTCAGACCATGTAAGAAACTTACCATGTCCCCAAGTCTTCACGGGATACACCTTCCCCTAATGCAGTCACGAGCAAGGTTGTGGAGCAAGGGTCAAACAACCGTCCCAAGCCCAAACCAGCGCATCCTAAACTCTAGAGTCTAGGACCGCAGTACATTCCTTGATGTAGGAGCTGGGTTAGTCTGCAGGGATGTGCCTAACACTTCCAGAACATGCACGGCCAAAAAGAAACTACTTAAGCCCCATAGGAGAGCAGTAATGGTGCATGGCTTTTTTTTGGCCGGGGAGGGCGGGGCATAAACTAATCCCGCGTGCCTACAAGAATGATGGTCAAGTAGCACCCACGCTTCTCAGTCGATGAACCGACAACCCCTAGCAACACATCTCGAATTAATTCCCTGAGCCCCCATCCAAACGTATGAAACCAAACCTACCTGTCCAGTCCACAGGTAGAAAACCCAACGCTCACTCTGTACGTGGCCAAACCAGCCCCAACCCCTTACCACCGAACTCACAGCCCTCAGTCAAACAAAACCGGAGACAAACAGCAACTTGCTAGTGGAGAGTGTAGGCTGATGCTCTCTGCTTCAGTCAGAGATTGTGTTTACATGATCCGATATACAAGCATAGCTGAGCATCGTGTTGTTTAGGTTCTGTGCTCTACTCATCTTAGAACATCAGAGAATCCGGTGTTTTGAAGATCTCGTGAAGAACAGGAGCAGAACCGACATGTGCTGAACAATATATTGCAGATCCCAGACAAGCTGAAAATCAAAAAGCTGTGCTATCAGTGATCACTCAGCCCCGATATGGCTTCCCCTCAAACCTCATATCAACCCGAGTATCAACCCGCACAAGCCCCAGTATATTCCCTAGCGCAGAATATGGCCGAGTAAAGCCAAGTGTCTCCTTCGGAAAATGTTTCATCGCGGTACCACGAAGACAGATCATGGTAATAAAATTCATTTGTGCGTGCCTCGGGCAAGAGAGAACTCAATTTCTTGGCAAGTCGCGCCGTTGTGCTGGGGGTTGGGGCTTTCACTTCGGCATCGCGGGCTTCACCGCCACTGTGGCATATCAGGTCGGACTTTGGGGACAGGATGACCACCAGGGTTGTCCACAGGTAGCACATGAAAAAGGGCTTTGGGGCTGCATTGTCTAGATCCCTGCAGGTTTGGACTGCGGAAGTCGTACTGTGCGAAAGTTTCTGGACCTTTGGACTGCCTGGTTCACTTTTAAATGAAAACAAAACTTTCAAGACAGCAGAACCCTGGCACGGGAACACCAGTGCACTGTCCTTAGTGCCCTAGAGTCGGGGATGGTGTGTCCCGGGACTGGAGAGGGAAATAGCCTCTTGAGACGGATCTGGGGGCGGCGTGCCGGGCCTTTAGAGGGATGGGCTCACTTTTGGTGTCCAGGAAAAAGCCTGCAAAAGCTGAGCCAATATAGCAGCATGAGAGTCGCGCCTTCGGTACTGATACAATCCCTTCGGGTGCCTTGCTTCGGGTTTTTGCTTGAGGGCCTTTTTCGTGAGCTGTGATTACTTAGGGCTTAGGGCTCAGTGTGCCAGAATTATAACTGGACTATAGTACACTGTACCACCAACACCTATTTTAATTCTGCAGGCCTTCAGGCTATTGCATTTTATGGATGTGGGGTTCAGTGGACGTGGGGCCTCGGAGTTTTCAGTATTTCGTTTAATATTAATTCAAGGGCTTACGGTTTCAAGGTCAGGGCTGACAGTTATTGAGACAGAAGGCCTACTGGCCGTGAGACCCTGGTCCAGGATGTTACAGTCTCAAGGGTTTGAGGTTAAGAATTCGGGAACGGTTGGGGGGTTGGGGTCTAGCTTCCTTGGGGTTGAGTGCTAAGGTCTGGAACGCATGGATTTCATAACAGCTACTACTTCTAGGGCCAGGGGAGGAAGGGAGGAAGCTAGCCCTTGGCAAGTGACGTCCGGGCCCATGTCAGCCTTGGCTTCCCGTCGGTGTCAGGTTTCCATATGGGTTGCAACTTACATCCTTCTTTCGAAATTACCAAGATGAAGGGTGCTTGGGCCCTGAACCCAACCCTCTCTAAACCGTTGAAGAGCTGAGGTCCAACCCTAAGCCCACAACTCAACCCGGAGGCCGGCCCCAACAACTGAAGACAACTGAAAACAACGCAGGGGCCTTTATACCCTCAAAACCCTATTCTGATTATTGAGGCCTCTACATTACAAAGGGCAGCTGTCAGTTCTGGCTTTGGTTCGGGAGGCTCGGATATAGATTGCGAAGCTTCAACACGACAGTTCAAAGAGCAGCCGTACAACAAGGCCCCCCCACTTAATACATCGGATTCTGTGTTGAGGGTGGCAGTGTTGAATTCTTGTCTGTGCGTGGACGTACTGTAGAAGCCAATATGGTTGTGTGGTGCGAGGCTTTTCAAGGGAGATAAGCTCTTCAGAGGGGCGTGGGAGTGGCCTGGTTGGCTCTGCTACTGGCTTATCAGAAGTCTGTACAGTAGTAAAGTGGGGCAGCAGTAGCGGCGCAGAAGTGCAGTGGTAGTGCGGTAGTATCAAGGGAAGCTGCTCGTGGGTAGTGTGCGGGTGGGTAGTTGGGGCGCTGTTTATGCGAGTAGTTATACAAGGCTTGTATAAGCCACTTATAAGCTTTCCATAAAAGGGGTTTATATGAACCTCGCATAAGAATGAAGGTTGAAGCTATCGCCGGGCTTATGTGAGGCCGTTGGTTTCCGTTCTTGCGACAGGAATGCACTTCTCTTGGACGGGCACCCCTCGCACCCCACCCCCCGACTCCCCCCCTCCCCGCACCACCCCCCGCCCGCGCCCCCACACTGCCCGTCACTGCCCATCCCCACAAACAAGCCAAAACACATGAAAGGGACGGCGCGCCCCTGGCTGTACACATAAACCCCTCTCCCCCAGCTCTCCGAACCCTGACCCCACATAGTGCTCACATAAGGGCTCACATAAGCCTCACATAAGCCATGGAGCTCATGCCGGGCTCCCACACGGTGCTCACATAAGTTCCCTCATAATTAAGCCAGCCCCGCGGAAGCCGCAGAGATGCTGACAGGATGCTCACACAAGGCTGGGGATTGGGGATCTCCTAAGCGCCTCCCTCCCCCTTTCACTGTCAAGCATATCTTGGCATGCGCTGTGCTTGCCTTTACTGCGAGGCGCGAACCTCAACTGACGCATCCTGATATCACATAAGCCCCAACAAGGACACGCTGAAATCACATAAGCCCCAACGGAACTACCCACCCCCCAACTCCCCACCCGAAGCTTCCCTAGATAGTAGGGTGGTTTCGTACAGTAGTAGTGCAGCAGTAGCATTGTAGGCCACTGCCTCAGCAAACTCTTCGTAAACGAGTAGATGGCTGCGGCCGGCTGGATGAAACAAGATGCTGAGCAAACAGATCAGTGTTCACGGTGCTGTCAGCATATCATGCTACTCAGCAATGTCTAGCTGCTTGTTGCTGCACATGTGTCGGCTGCCCTTTATCTCGTATACAAGGAGGCACAGTTGACCTGGAGCAGCTTTGCCACATATCTTGGTCAAGCTAGCGGAAGATGATGTGAAGCTGTTGGTGGGCGTGGTTGTTGAAGAAGCAGGCCGTGTCCGTACAGAGCATGTATACACACACACACACACATTTGTTGTGTCGGGTCTGGCACAGGAGCCCTGTTGACAAGCGGAACCTGCCGCCCTAGCCTCAAACCCCTCAACATCCACCTGGTGGACGTTTGCGCGCCAGGCCCAAGCAGCTCCAAATTCCAATTTGGGATGGCGGGGTTTGGATCTTGTAGCGGCAAGTCTGATATCACTTTACAGTAGAAGCCTGAAGCGGGACCAAATATCATGCTTCTGCATTCAATTCGTAGTTATTTCATGTTTTCGGGTCTGATGCTTGTGGTTCAGTGCCCTTTCTTTCTGCTTGCCCAGCGTCCCGCTGTAGCTCGCCTTGTGGTCGCCGGTAAAATCCTCGGTAGAACTGTACTGCCTAAAGAGTTGGAGTACCTAGCAAGTCAGTTGAAGCCCAGCATAAAGCTTTAGCTTTAACCACCTTCAACCATATCTCCACCTGTAATTCCATGAGCCAAGTATCCTCACACAAGGCAAGGTAGCTCCCCAAGTTTGCACACTGTAGCATCAATAGCCATTCCTAGGCCCTTAACCCTTAATACCCCCGGCCTCGATGCACTAAATCGTATACGCTGACATGTACACCTATTAAAAAGTGTTAAGCCTCAAACGCCCACACCGCGAACCCAAAAAGAAAAACGGCATCCTACCATTACTCAGTAAAAGGTCAAGATGGTTTCCAAGAGACCAAGCTTTTTATGTTGAGGGGGGCCATGAAGGCACCCAAAATCATTGAATGCATAGCCAGAAACAGCAAGTAAGCCAAGGTACCATGTCACAACACGATATGAAACTGAACAACTTGGCATGGTATTCGCCCTTTTGAGATGCCTTGCCCCCAAACCCTCTACCCCATGCTTCACGCCATAGACCTTAAACAAAGAGACCATATACCCTAAACCGAAAAAGCCAAGAAGCTTCTGTCATCTTGCCGAGGCCTTGGACGAAGCCCAAAGAAAGGGCGCCCGAGAAGCCTTCCTCCGACCTCGGCTTACTTGGCAAGTACGCTTAAGGCCACAAACCCTAGACACCAAACCCCTAAGCCCGTGACTGGAATACGTAATTAGGGCTACGTGAAGGACCGGAAAAATCGACCCCTGACCGAAACCGCTCTAGTGATTTCAAAACTAGAACCTCCAAAGGTATCCGATGGCCGTATGATGTAATCTAGTGAACACATGAAGGGCTCTGTTTGGAGATCCTCAAGCAACTAGTGAAAAGACTCTGTATGTAGTTTTGTCACATCTTCAAAGGAAACACTGACGCAAGTTCCACAGCCCCAAGTAGAGTAACGACAACGCTCCTTCTCGCTACCCATGGTGACTTCCTCGTTTTCTCTTCAGGAGTCCTACGATCTATACCGGGTTAGGGCAGGGGCTTTAGGGTTTGCAGGGTGCGGAATCAGGTCATAGGATATGGGAATAAGACTTGGGGCTCCGGGGGTAGGAGCTAAGGTACAGGCAAGAGGCGCACTTGGAGCCTCATAAGAGTTTAATCACAGGGCTAAGCCCAATCTCAGACAAGGTGCTGCTTGCAGCGGGCGAAAGCAAAGGAATTGAGTATCAGCTCTTCCACTCCCTTGAGGACGGCCCGGTACTGCATCGATGCTTGGACGGCAAGGGCAGTGAACGTACGATGTTGGGGTAGTGGGAGGCAGGCTTTGGCTGTTTTGGGAATTTGGGGACCTGGTAGCAAAGGCACCCGCAAATGACAAGATGTAGGTGACGCAAGTGTGATGTTCCGGCAATTGCTTTGTCCAGGCTGCATTACGTGGAAGATCATTGGACTTACGACCCCGTTCAGGCATATGTGACAAATACCTGTGAAAATTCCGTGGAAGTTCGGGCTTTGCAGCACGCTGAGCCCATCCATAAAGCAGTTTGTATAACCGATCCCCGGCTTGGGTGCAGGGTGTGATAAGGCTCCCCTTGCAAAAAACCTTTAACGTGCGAAAGTAGCTCTGGAAGAAGTTGCTTCGACTCAATTAGGTCACAAGAACAACTAGTGAGGAAAAATGGCAGGAACTCACACTGGATAACCAACCACAAAACGTGCCGGAATCCTGCGCCACACGTGCAGGAAGCCTACATCTCTTCTTCGCCCTCCTTGCAATAGTGGTCCTACAGTCAGCGCCTCAAACACTGGAGGTTCAAGATCACTCTACCCGCCTCAGAAAGCACCCCCCCAGACTTCATGGTCAAAATTGCTGCAATGAGCCAGAACCCCAAAGCACCATAAACCCAACTACGATCCTTTAGGAAAATCATGATCTGAGGTCTCCATTGGATAGCGGCGGGTCAACATTGGAAGATCAGAGCCCCTTTGGGTGGAGATTCATGGGTGTGTCGATTCAGAAAAACATGAATGTGGAAGTGTCAGCAAACAGGGTAACCAAACAAACCATGAAAAGGTAAGGCCAGCTAAGAACCCCCCCTCAGTAACAGCCGAAGCACGAAGTGTCTTTGCTTCAAAGGTCACGCAGTGCCGGTTTCTCTTGCTCAAGACTCCGTTCCTGGATCTGGTTGGGGCTTGAAGTTTGCATTTTCGACATTAGACTTTCCACAGTGTGTCGAACTTCCTCAACCCTGAAATCTTAAACCCGATTTTCCAAGTACGTGCCAGATCTCCTGCATAAGACACATCTAGCGAGCACTCGGAAGGGAGCAAGCTCACCAGTGCTCAACTGGGCTGGCATTTTGATTTGGGGTCTTGGACTCCGCGGGTTTAGGCTTTTGGACCCTGAGGGCTCCGGTAAGCTAGGATTTCCCTCGTGTTGTTCCTGGCGACGGTTCCGTGGTTGCTTGCAGCTGCTGCCGCCAGAGTCTTACCTGCTTGCGGGTGTAGCTGGCTGGATCCACCTACTGCTTCATCTTCTTCTCATTGTCATCATGATTCATGCTCTATGTTGGTAGCGGTGGTTCTGTACGTTTGGTTGTGCGGCTGAGGGATTTAAGGTTTTGGTAAGGTTCAATTGTGGCTTGGGACAGCTGTGTTTAGGGCATCGGAATTTGTCCAGACACCTGCTTCCACTTTATGCTTATGGCGTGAAGCCATGATCTCAGCTGTGGTGTTCGCAGTGTCTTGTGCTGGACGTTGTTGAAAGAGGTTTCGCTAGCACAGTCCAAAAAACATTTACTGAAGGTATCTGCCTGCAACTCCTCAAGACCCCTCGAAAGGACTCCACACAGGTTTCGGCATGAAGGAACCTGCGTCGCACTGCGAGCATGTGCCTTTATTGTTGATGAAAACGAACGACGAAAACATGCAAACAACAATGTAACTGTCACACCCATGGGCTCCCATCCTGATGAACACGAACCTGCGATCATGTGTCCCCCGGTCTTGAATAACCAGGACCAGCCAAAATGTGCCTTTGTTAGACAAGGCAACTGTAAAACCCCGACGAGGCAAACGCTTTGCAAGGAGCTTTGTGACAAAGGTTCATTTACCAGAAACTGCGTTTAAGTACGAGCTTACGGTCATGACAGTTCCTATAACAATCACGATATGGGAGAGAAATCAATCACACACACTTCAGGCGCGGCACAGCTTGTGACACGCATGCTGCAGGTGAACGAAAAGGCTGCCATCGTAGTGACTGGACAGAGCCTGGCAACAGGATGAGCGAAGTTCGACGGCGGGTGAGTCAGTAGCCTCGGCAGGATCCTAAACCCTCACCAGTATTGTAAGTACTGAGACCAACCTTAGTTGGTACTATGTCAGCATAATACCCTCGAAAAAACAGTGAATGAAGGCCTAGCGTCCTGACAATCGCCATCCTCTGAGCACGTTTGAGGGTTCCATACGACTGCAAAATGGTGCGATCGACACCCCACCACACGCACGGCAGCGCGAAAAACTTAAGGTCTCGATAAGGGTCGTGGTACACGAAGCTGCAAACGAAACAGCGCGACACACTGGTTTCAGGTGTAGGTTTGCCCAAACCTTGAAGTAATCAGCGCACCTGTGCAAGACTTGTAGTTTGATAACTCGAGATATAAGGTACACAACCAGAAATGCCAAAACATGGCCTTTTTCTGAGACCTGGCATGCTTCAAACACCCAAGGTTCAACAGTTTTCTGAGGCCTATGGGCCCGCCCCAGCTGCAGGCTACTGAAGGTGTACAGGGAAGCCCGCGGATCGTCCTAGTCAAAGGATATAAACCCCAATGCAGCAGTGTCGAATGCTTGTGTTGTTGAGCCCTGCATTAACCTCTTACCTTCGAATTCCGATTCTGTCCATCATTCACAAGCCGGCACCGGCTCGCTCACCATTTAAAGTACCCTGCCAGAGATTCCAAACCCTGTGCGTGCACCAGCCTGCGCACGCGCACCGGCCCGGGCACCAAACAATGGTCCCTAGATCTCCAACTCTTGTCAAGCATACCAGCGCTGGTCCAGTTTCTTCCTCTTAAAGGGAAACAGACAATAGGTGTTTTGAGGCCGCTGACCCAACAGAATCCTGAACCATCTCCAGCCTTCTTGATGCTCTCCTTGCTGGACTCCTATCAGCTTGTTGGTCTCTGAGCCAGACCCTGAGGGTCCAAGTGCCCACTGATCAGATTAAGAAGATTGGGGTTCTTCACTCAGGGTTTGGGATCTTTAAGGGGCAGGGACTTAATCGGTGAGTGCAGATAGGGCTGCTGCTCTGGCGATGCTTCATATACTCCCAAGCACTGTGTGTAGCATGGAATTGCTGCGCATTTGGACCCCTATAGCCCTGTAATTAGAGCCAATGTCTACAAGCAATACAAACAAGTTTCCAACACCTAACTTGACCCCCTAAACCCTTAACTGCAAGCCTCTAAACGCAGGTGGAATCCTAGAAGTCGAAGCGCATAGGAAGAGTGCCAGCTACCCGGAGTTCAGCCAAGCAGTTACTTTAGCCGCGATTTCTTCGGGGCCTCAGAACAATCCTCAACCCAAAGCTGTCCGACATCTAAACCACAACATCATCAAGTCATACACTAGAATCACTAGAAGAGCCTCAGATGCTGAAAGGCTGAAGTCCTGTATGCCGGAGACTCTGTTGAAACCTCTGAAAGACCCAAACCCCAGCAAGCAACCAGAACTAGCCCTCCTAATCCTTCAACCCACCAAAGAATCCAAACGCAATAAATATATTCCTTCTAATCGCATCTCCTCTTCTCCTGAATCCCATAACCCTCAAGCTCTAAGTGCTAATCCTTGTTTAAACCCCTAACACCCAATCCGTTATCGAAGACCTTCAATTCAAGGCCCAAGTTCTCTAAATCCCAAGCCCTGAATCCATAAACCACAAATCCCTAAACCCTCAACCAAAAAAAGCAAATAAACCTTGAAGCCTCAACCCCGAAACCAATCTCACACCCCTAAACTCCCATGCCCCTAGTCCCGAAACTGTCCTTCATGCCCCAGTCGAGGCTGTCTACGAACTTGTCGGCCCAGGCAGTCTTCCTAGAATCCCAAACACAGACTTAGGGTTTGGGATTAGGATTCCAAACGCAACATAGAAAACCAAAGGTTGCAGTGTCCCTGCAATGTATATTGTTGTTGTTGCTTTTGTTGTTTATGGTTTTGTGGTTTTGTTGCGCAGCCCGGAGTGCATTCTTCTTCACCTTGTTGATATTGCTGTTATTTGTGGTACTGCTGAATTCGTGGTCATAACTCGATGTATTATCAAGTTATCAGTATTATTATCACCAGTATTGCCGTGACGTTTTAAAATCTACCTAAACACATACTCAGCTAAATCGATTGTGAGTATACATACATATACACACTTACAAACGAAACAGAAAGCAATGTTGCTGCTAATTATTCCGACTCTTTCTCAGCAAAGGATACAAGAAACCAGGTTACGATCACCCTAGAGGTGAGGGCCGTTTAGGTCTGATGTACAGGTATTTTCAAAATAAGTAAGCCCTGCCTTGGGTCGCCCTGAAACCTTATAGGGCCGATGGGGATTTGGGGGCTATAGAACTCGAGGTGTGAGGATTTGAGATGGAGGAGTGTAGTGTTCAGGGAAGTTAATGGTTGGAGGGTGTATGCACAGTGTAGGGCAGGGTTCAGTCGAAATTCTGAGGAGCGGCTTTGGGTTTTTTCGGCTGTGGGTCTTGGGTTTGGGGGACCCGCGCCATGAACCCCAAAAGAAAGTTCCGTTTAAGCTTGAAGGACCCTGAGGCAGGATCTCCGAAACATGCAGAGCTTCATCGCTTGGGCCAGATCCTCGTGATAGCTCTCATCAATCCATTCCTGTGACTAAGGCTTATGTTTCAGGCGGTGGCGTTTGGGGTTCGGGTTTCGTGTAACTAAGTTTAAGTGTTTGGACTGAAGAACTGAAGAGGCTCGCAGGCGTCAACATTGTCTTGTCTGGTACGGTAGTCGCGACTGTCCGGATGTTCACGCCGCCCAGAACATCACAGCAAGGCTCGCCTCTATGCGCTTCTTCATGTTAAGAAACCATGATTCTTCAGGTGCCATGCCAAGACAACTCTTTGTCCCGGAGTTCGCATCCCTATAAAGCACTCTTTCGAGGTTCAGGGTAACGCCTAACCCAGTTACGTCGACGCAACTATACCTTGGGAATATACCTGTACCTAGTGCATCTTCAACTGGCTTGCTGTGTCCTGGTAGACAACTTCTACGACACAGGGCCTTCTATACACCGGTGACCGCACAAAGACAATTTATGCTGTCTGATATGCTTCCTACCAAAAATTTGCGAGGCGCATGATTGCAAAAGAGTGAATGTTGAACTCAGCAAGTTGAGGTCCCTAGAACGACGATACGAGGCGTCGGCGGAGAAGTAGTAGCAGTAGCAGTAGCAGTAGCAGTAGCAGTAGCACTAGCAGTAGCAGTAGCAGTAGCAGTAGGAGTAGTAGTAGTAGTAGTAGTAGTAGTAGTAGTAGTAGTAGTAGTAGTAGTAGTAGTAGTAGTACTAGTAGTAGTAGTAGTAGTAGTAGTAGTAGTAGTAGTAGTAGTAGTAGTAGTAGTAGTAGTAGTAGTAGTAGTAGTAACAGCAGTAGCAGCAGCAGAACCCAAAGTAGAAAGAGACGTAGCAGCTAGTTTTCAGCAGTTTGCAGTTGTAGCCAGCAGTTAGCACGTAGTAGTCAGCAGCTAGTATATAGCCTGTGGCTAGCAGTCAGTAGATAGCAATCACGAGTCAGCCGTGAGTCGTTAGTAGTTAGTAGTTAGAAGTAAGTAGATAGTAGTTAAAGTAAACACATACATGTCAGTGGCAAGAGCTCAAGTGGTAGTAGTAGTCGTCGTAGTAGTCGTCGCAGTCATATTAGTTGTAGTAGTCGTAGTGGTAGTAGTAGTAGTAGTAGTAGCAGCAGCAGCAGCAGGACTAGTAGCAGTAGTAGTCGTCGTCGTAGTCGTCGTCGCAGTAAAAGCAAAGGAGAACGGGTACCAGTACTAGCAGTACCACTCGAGATATTTACCATGAAATTTCATAGCAGTTCTTGCTTTGTTATGTTGTATGATGTTGTGTTCTATTCAGTTCCAGTCTATGTTAAACGGTTCTGTTCTTTGGTGCTACAATATTTTGTTTTCTGGTATATAACGTGTCTTTATATGGTTGTGTATGGAAATCTAGTCCACTCAGTGCTGTTATGCTATGTGCTTTCCATTATATGTAGCTTCTGCATACCTAACTACAACTATATTGCATTACGCCCAGTATGGAAATGAGAAACTTCCGGCATTATGAAACACACCTACATATGCATACATGTCTCACTATAGTCATAATAGTACATTGTATTTTGACCTGACAGGCTTTCAGCTTGCATAATGCATTAGTTTTGAATTATATTGTAGTTTCGTGTTTTGGTATGTCATGTTATGTTATATGGGCTTGCGTGTCTTTCCTTACTTGGGTCTCCAGTGTTTCGCGCACCTGCCTGGACTGTAACTTTTCCTGAAATGGAGCTCTCACTATGGTTTTTCGCGATTCCATGCAGAAATCCTCTTTCTGAAATGCGTAAACACGTAAAGGCCTGTAGGGGCGCTGTTACCTTGTTTCTGTGTATGGATAGCTACGGAAGCAACGTGCGTGCATATATATATATATATATGTAGTATACACCTGATATGCATTGCATACACTATATGCACTGTATACGTTAGACAGACTAGTTACAACAGCTAGAGTATACATGCACACCTACATACTCACACATGCATACATACATACATACTAGTTACTGACATGCTTATTTAGAAACTGCTTACTTTACTTGCTGTCTCCATTCCTTACTAACCGATGTATACCCACACGGTGCTTTCTACTTTTTGTGTATATATGTATGCATATACATAGATAGAGAGACAAATGTGAGGGTGTGTGTATTCATACATAAAGAAGCATATAAATCAATACATTGCATGGTCATGTCTATAAACTTCTGCATGTTACACAACTTGTGTGTACATATAAGTGTCAGCGCATGTACAGTATGTAATTATGTATGTGTCATCTCGTACATTTTATGAAAAAGACGCAAATATGATAGTTATACATACATACATACATACATACATACATACATACATACATATATAAACATGCTGATTTTTTATTCGTCGACACGCGTTACATACTGCGTACTTCTTCATGCATCAGACATGTGGTTGATCAGTTCATCTCGCTCAACAATCGTCGTCGTCTTTCAGTCATAAGTTATAAATTGAACCTTAAGGTGCGCTGTCGCTAGACCTTTACCTCGACTTGGCGGCCTTCTGAATCCATATGAAGGTCCGACTTAGTCTTTGCAGTGTAGAACCAACAAGTTCAAGTCGTAAGATGGGACCGAAAGCTGAGCTGTTCTCGCCGAGATACCCACGTGCCAAAGCACTCATCAACCTTGATGTCAGACTAGATGTGTTGGGTATTTTCGAAAACAGAGCACCCTTAAACACATGTACCAGGCCAGGATCATTGATATCCGGCCCAAAACCGGGGCCTCTGATTGTAAGAAGCCCCCAGTTGACCGTGATCAAATCCGAAACTCTTGTCGCACAGAGTGTCTCTCTGGTTTTGGCCCAAGACACGTGGCGGTCGATAACCTTCCAGTTCTCGCTGTCCTGGGTTGTTTGAGCTTGAAGGTGGCTTAACCGTTCAAAGTTAGGTTGGCCGCTACGGTCAGATATTGAAAACCCTACGCGTGCTTTTAAAGGTTATATAACCTTAACTACATACGCAGACAGGCGCTCTCACCTATATAAGGCTGCAGGCCAGAACAAACACAGACTCTTTTGATGAGCTCGCTACTTGGCTATCCAAGCTGACGAGTTCCCATAAGCTGATTCATGAGCATGTAGACCGCCCCCGCGCGAGACCACTATTCACTACAGCTGTCCTTCGGGCTTCTCAGCTGCTGAAGCATTAAGCTCGTAAGCTCGAGATGGCGGGGGCGGAAGTCACCCACGGGGTTCGAACAGGATTGAACACTGCACCGAAACTGTGTACAGTACATGGTTCAATCCTGTTTCTTCTAATAATGCTGCAAACACTATCCTCTAAATATCTACAGGGGGCATTCTGACCCGCAACAACGGTTCGTGCCCGAAAGTCGAACAAGCTCTTGCGCCATTCCGCCGCAGATGCGCCGCTGATGCCACCTTTCCACTCCTGTGAAGGCACCCTCGATTCATCACTCCCGAAATTACAAACCGACATGCAACCCTAACCCCAACATCTCATACCATAACGCCTAAGGCAACATCCCACAGAACCCCAAAGTCCGAAAGTTCCCGTCTTCTTCTATTCTCATGTCCAGCTCATACCGCGGATGTAAACTTTTGCATTACCGACGATGCTGTAAGCTGTGGTAATTTCGTGACAAACTGCGGCCTCGCTCCTCTAGGAGAAGGTAAACAACGAACTGGGCTCCTGAATAGATCTTCAAACACGAAACTAGACCGCCCGCTTTGAGAATTGCCAGGGTGTGGAGGGCTTATAGTACTTAAGCGGCAAAGAACAGCAAATCCTACGTTACGCAGGTTTGTGGATTCTGGGTACCATTTAAAGCCTCATATAAGGGTTTGTGTTTAAGGAACGGTAACCCGCTATGTAGGGAATCGGGCTACTACGGTTACTAGGGATACCTGACTCGCAAGTCGACGATACAACTTGTTCCTTCTCAGGCACCCGTTGCATCACACCTGGCTGCCGAGACCGTTGTCAAGACCGTTCTTGTTCATTTCCTCATATGTGCACTTGCACGCTAAGGGAAGCTTGAGACCTGGAGCAAGCTAGATGAAGGCATGCCTGCGCCTCAACTTGTCAAACACTTACAAACACATTTGGCCATCCCGCGAAGACCAAATCCAGATCTTTCGCTCGCGAGCCACCCTCAACGACAAGACCACAAATCACCCCGAGCTCTAACCGCAAGACTGACGGCGCTGAAGTTCAAAACCCTGCAACGCCATTGTATTACCTACTGACGTTGCAACTTCCTGAGTCCAAATCCCTAATCCTCATCGTTCGGAGCTCTCGCCTGCGTGACGTCCATCACTGAGTTCTGCTCCGAAAGACCATTCTCGCTGCTGCTACCATTGCCCTTTGACACCTAATTAGGCTTCGGGGTTTCAAGTTTTAGGATTTAGGATTGCCAATGAAGTGCTGGCTTCAAGGCTCAGAAGGTTCAGGCACTTGGTTGGCATAGCCATAGCTGTAGAGGTGTCGGTTACTGTAATGGCGATTGAGAGCATTAAGGCTGGAAGGCATCATATCACAGCCCGTAAACCTAAACATTCCCGGACGGCAAAAGCGCCTCTTTCTCGCAGCTGATAAGACGTTAAAGGACTCAAGAACACCACAAATGCCAAACAGGCACAATATAGTAAGTACTACTATGACGGGGTGGATTGTTGTTGCCGCTGTTCAGGAAGGGGGGATGGGAGGGGGAAGGAAGGGGAGGAAAGGAGGGCCGGGGCACCCTGCCAGCAGCGGGAAGGGGGAGAGGGGGAGGGGCAGGGAGGGGGCAGTTGAGTTGTGTAATCGCTCTACCTCCAAGTAACTCCCAATGGGCAAGAGTATATAATTACTTAACACCTACGGTCTAGGATTTTCAGGGTTCTACTTGAGCAAGATTACTAGCGGGATGACCAACCACAGAAAAAAAGCTGGAGACCTTATTTACAGGATCATGGGTCCTAGGATTTCAGATCTAACGTACCTGATTAAGTACATTTGTGTCTACGTTGTACACCAATTCAAGTATTTACGACACTGCTTATTTGCACCTACCCATCTCTCTTCAAGCAAAGCCCTAGCCACGAACATCGAGAATCTAATCCCTAATTAAACCCGACAAAACCCTGACAAGCCCCAAACCTGGCCTAAGCCTAAACCGAAACCGTAAGGACCCCTAAACCCTTGCAGAACCTGATGGAACCCTGTCATGAGCCCCTCTAGAACCATTTCAAGAGGCCAAGTCTCCAATTCCCCCTTGTCTTTACTGCGCTCGCCGGAGACTTTGACCTCGCTCGTGGGCCCGCCGAGAGCTTTCCAAAGCAATCCTTCCGGTGATGTTTCAGCTGTGATTGCTTTTGTTTGGGCTGGCTGGTTGGTTGAGGGTTTGGGGTTTGGGGTTTAGGGTCTGTGGATTAAAATGAAGGCCGTGTCTGTGCGAGCATGTTTCGATTTCAGCCGGGATCCTTCGCTATGTCGCTGAGCAACAACGACAATGCCACCAACATGACTAATAAGTCCCCAGACGCAGAATTATCATCGTAACAACGATCCAACCATTGTGAGCAAGACGACCGTGTCGGGAGAATGTCTTGGAAAGTCTGAGAGACATCGGTTTGTGGTAATGCAAACAACACCGCCGATTGCCTTCTCTGATGTGAGGTGCTGTCGGAACCGTCTAGTCTATCTTGTATAGGAACACTTGGCTAATCTATAGGCTCCTGAATAAACGAAGGATTCAAAATCAAAGCCCACAAAACAAACAGCCTTAACGTGGAAGACAAAGACTCGCCCACGAAAACCCGAAAGAGCAGACCGTGAATCCTCAGATCAAGCCTGATACGTCAACCCAAAGTCCTTAGCCCGGAAACCCGGATTCTACCACAACCCAAAAAAGTTAAGGGTGGATATAGGAGAACCATACTGTCCTAAACCACTAAAGCCATGTCCCCTGCACACCCCTTCTTCAACCCGATCAGGCCCTGTAAACACCTTATAAGCTCCTACACACAAGTTGTGCTTCAAGACCATGTGTTTCAAAAAAAACCGTGTCCTGTCCAGCCGCCGGGTCCCCCCCAGCCCACTTTGGCCTCGCCTTTCAAACTGGAGCTGGCAGCGGTCTCGATGGCCTGCGTTATGTAAAAGATGTTTAGGGCTAGGAGGCTACTAGGTTCGCTCTGTCTCTTTAGAAATTGTCGAAAGTGTGTTTGCGCGCGCTCGATTTGGAAGTTTAGGGTTGGAGCTTCTTGTAGACTGGCCTTGGTTGCGGCACCTGCAACTCCACTCCACTCACATCCGAAAGTCACTCCATAGGACATCCAGAAGTGTAATTAGCCCTCAAGCAGTTTCGACTTCGGCCTGGGCAGAGAAAAATCAGAAAGCTCGCTAATCAAGGAATGGCCTCATGTTCGAGTACGGTTGATGACCATCACTTGAAATGCACTCTAGTTGGCGGACTGTCGAGTCTCCGGGGCTACGAAGGGTTCTAGGACTTCGGGTTCTGGCTTAGAGGAATGTCGTTCTTCCCTAAGGTACACATGCCTGAAACCTGAATCAAAGCCAAGTCCCGAATTGGGCATTTGACCCCTACAATATATGGGCACTTCCCCAGTCCAGTCCAGTCCACAAGCCAACACAGCTTCCAACTTCAGACTCAGAAGGACGGTGCATGAAACCAGCAAGTTCAGAGTTGCATGACACAGACGCCCGACCGGTGTTTTGATTGCACTCTCGCGCAGAAGTGCTGCAAATCCTCGTTTCGGACCTCATGCACTCTCGGCGCAGTGCCGTATTCTGCGGTGTGAGTCTGTTATGCCCTCGAAACACCGTGGGAGCAGCATCGTTCAAGGCCTGCATAGTGTGTGTGCAGGCGGATTCAGGGTATGCCGCAGCTGAAGCCAAACTTATCTCGTTCTGAGAGACATCAGTCCAAAAGGCGGCCTCCTGAAACGTCAAAGCATATCAACCCTGAACCCTGAATTTCACCACAACCTATAATTCCTACACCCTGGATACCCAGGAAACACAATAGAGGGTCTGCATGTATCACCATTGCGGAATTAGCTCCGGAAAGTCATGCAAGGCAAGTGCTGGTTTCATGGCCTTACTGCATAGTAACGGTAACGGTTACATTTATGGACGGCTTGGGTATTGGCATCAGTCCTTTCGCAGTATTCGTATATCGGTACTCTATGTAAGGGATCGCAAGCTGCCCAATCTTGTGAGCGAAAAAACCTCTTTAGCGAAGATGTGAATGTTACTTCCTCGGGTGTTTTCTGAGCGTCAGGTGGGGTTACGGGCCTATACAGGCTTCGAAACAAGATTCATGAAGACAAACTCAATGTGGAACTTCGTCAGCAGCCTCGCTCGCCATCGCCGAAACCTGGTTAACAGAGGTAGTCGAGTCGCTGTTGTACCTTGTGAGGATCGAGATTTTTCTGGAGGGATCGGGGCATATGCTGAAATACAATGCATTCGGGAGGTGAAAGCAGTATTACTGCTAATGTTCAAAAAGGCATTATGGATCCCTGAGTAATAACCTCCCTATCTCAATACGCATTGTCCTGGAATCCTGCCAGTAAAGCCCTAAAGACCGGGGGGCTGATCCATCTTGTGTAACTGTATGAGCCAGTATTCTACAGTATAGGGGGCCTGAATGAAAACATGCAAGCTCAAGTTAATGAAATTGATGAGATATTACCCTCCCGCAAGTACATACATACATAGTTGTTGGGTGATATTTGCCGAAGCCGTGTGTTCCGTGTTTCCATTCCCCCTAAACGGGCCGAAGCTCAAAATGTCTTACCACAGTCTCAACCTTACTGTATGCTTGATCGTGTCTAGAACTTTGAGGCTCTTGACTAATCAGGGCGTGCGATTCAGGCGTTTTGGGGCTTTAGGGCTGAAGTCCGAAACTTTAGCGTGACCATACTAGAGAAAGCATGTCCGAGCCGCTTGGCTTTGACCTTCCAGTACCCTCCCAGAACGACATTGGTGCAAACGTGCGAGCCGAACTGCTCCAACCTGGGATGCTGGAGTTCAATGGTGCACGTAGACCCATGATTGCTAAACCATCCTTGCCCATGGAAGTTCGACGGTCAATCAGAATGAGTGCTGTAAGGACTTGTAACGTAAAGGCAGAGACATCCCGCGCATGATGCCACTTGTGACCATACAAAACCCTGAACCCTGCACGGTGAATCCTAAACCGTATATGCCTCCAACCCTCAACCCGTATTCCCCAACCATACGCGACAAGCAAACGGCGGGAGTCTCGCCTGGAAACTCTCAGAGTCGGGTGTTTGGGGGCCTGGAAACACAGTTCTGATTAGCGTGTACGTATCCCGGACATCCTCCTGGAGGCTCCAAGATCCGCCAGACGAGAGGCAAAGGTGCCACGAGGCCAGGATACACCTTGCAGGAGGCAAAGGGACTTAGAGGGTTAAGCAAACCCAGTCGTAGCTTTCCTGAAAGTCCAATAGGTTTGCATTAGCAGAGTTCTTTGAGTCTTGAGTCTTACAAGGCTTTTCTTGAATCCCATCATTGTTGGAGCAAGCTGAGCAAAGGGACCGATTCCGAACCCCTTTGGCCGGTGTAGTCGCACAAGGCAGGGGTTTAGTGTTTAGGGTTTTGCTGTTTAGGGCGCTTTCACGGCTTCCCGAAGCGAAACACCAAAATCCCTTGATCTAATCTGAGCCCGACAAGCTTGTGTTGAACTTCGAAGCCAAGAGAAGACAGCTACTTCAAGGCCCGTAAGCAGAGCTGTCTCGAACCCTAAACGGGTACCGGGGCTGTTGCTCCATTTTAAACCCACTTGCATGTCCCTTGAAGCAGCAACTCCAGAATCCCCGATGTGCACAGAAATCAAAGGCTGAACTCCCAGACCAAGACAAAGACACCAAGTCAGAAGAAACCAACCAAAAGGTCTTCTGTTTCAGGTTTTGGAGAACCCAGAAGGAAAATGTGTTTGGAGACCCGGATTGTGGACGCGGATCAGGCAACTCATTCTCCGGCCTCATGTGTATATACATTATTTATATACATATATATATATATATATATAAAGGGATAAGGACTGCGCGCGGAAGGTTTAAGGGATTAGTGATAAGAGTTAGGGCTTGGAGTTTAGGGGATCCGAGATTAGACGACTTCCTGTCCTGAGTGCCTCGTTCATAGGCCGACAAGAACTCATAACTTCCAGCGGTTCAGGCAGCTGTGTTATCCCCAATCGCCAAGAACGCATACAAAGCTTGCAGGCTGATTGGAAGTATTCAACTTTAAGCGGCTAAAACTTGATATTCTAAAACTTTAAACCTGAACCGAGGTCGCGAAGCCTCCTGTTCATGTTCTGGGCTCCTAACCTCCTGAATCCCTTCCTGCAACTCAGAAATCATACAGACGGACGAAACAGCTTGTAGGCTTTGAGAAGACTCAAGCTCTTTGAACAACTCGCAAAGCTTGTTTACAAGATGGGCCTTGCAGAACTTATGCCAGCAGGATCCCTTTTATAGTGCCTATGAATGAAGACGAGCCTTTTTTCTATTGAAGACCTGTTACCTTCAACCCTAAACCCCGCATGAACCAAGGGGTCCCTCGAAAACGACATGCCCGTCACTAGTCTAACAGAAGAGTCTTGCCAAGTTGAATACAGGGTTTGGGGGTAGGTGTTATAGCAATATACCTGCATAATGAAGTTACATGGGGACTCTGAAGGGGTGCTACTGTACAGCTGAATTATACTGACTATTTGTTCAGACCTCACTATTACACTAAATTCTGAAGCACACGGGTGGAGCAAGCCTGCTTCAGGTATGCAGCCTTGACCTCCCAAACACAAAAGCTTCGCCCTAAACGGCTGCAGGTTTCGGGTTTGGTCTGGAACGACTGCGTTTGGAGGTTTTGGGGGTTTAGGTGTTTCCGGTTGGCGGTTCATGGCTTGTGATGCTTATGGTTCAGGAGTTCGGGGCTTGGGGCCTGGGCTTCAGGGTTTTCGGGTCTGATTATATGGGGTATCTTGCAAATACAAATATCTAGATAAGCTATGCAACTGGTGCGATTGCCGAAACGTCAAGCCAAGAAGAGGCACAGGAAGTAGAAACAGCAAGCAGGGATGTCCCGATTCATCTGCGCCCTACTTCCGAAATCTCTCTTGAATCTTAAATGATTTTTCTATTCCCGGGCGAGAATCCCAAAACCCACGGATTCACCCTCAAGCCGGTACTTCTTGGATTGCGACATGAAGCTTTTCCGCCGTTTAGGGTTTGTAGTCACGTGTTTGGAGACACGAATCGGGAAGGAACGCGGCCCAATTTTTGATTTGGCATGTAAAGAAGCACAGCGCAAAGTTATAAGTACCGAAGAACGACTCGTATAATGCGTTCCGAAGGAGATTCTATAATTCTAGAATGGCTCCCATAAGAAATGGCAGGCTGAAAACATGCGCTTCATATGGCGTCATGTGGTCCTACGAAAAAAGAACACCGAATGATGAGGGAGCACAGTTCTTACCAGATCACTGGCTTGGTATAAATGATGCAAGGACCCTCCCGCCCTCACCCCACGGTATCTATCCCCCGCGCCCCGGTGTGGTGTGGTGCCCGTGGTGTTGCTTGGTTCTTGGTCCTCGGTGTGTCCCTGCCTCCTCCGTGAGTTGCTGCCTGTGGTGTTCGTGCTTGGTTGGGTTAATTAGGCAAGAGCAACGGCCCTCTCACCAAACCCTTAAAGTAATTGTGTTTGCTCCCGCATGCAGCCAAGCAGAAGTTGGCGCGGTGGGTCTCCCATAGGCAGAAGAGCTGGCTGTCACACGAAGCATTGTGCTGACACCTGTGTCGCCCGAGGTCCATGGGTGGTGGGCCCGCAACCCGCCCCAGCAACAGTAAAGACGTTGATGCGCATCACGACGGCGTGCCTTTGTGTGGCTACTGTTGCCATGATTGAGAAGCGAAGTTGCACCGCTTGTCGAGAACTTGCGAGAGTCACAGGTCCGACCTCTGCGACTATTGGCATGTTTACATATCGCGGCAATACACGTACGTAGATTCGATAGTTGGATTCGCCGGACTCGGCTATGCAATAGGCCAGTGATGTGATGTGATGTTTACATCGTGGCGACGACTGTCACGAGGACTTCGCCTCTGGGACTGTTGTCGCGAACAGCCTGGGGAGAGGGTGGGGCAGGGCAAACGGGGGGATACCACAGGCGGGGGGGGGGGGGGGGGAAAGGAGTGTAGCAGCGCGGGACCGGGGTACATGAACTAGCCGGTTGCAGCAAGCTAAAACTACTGAAATCCCCGGCAGACTCACTTCAGAGACCCTACTGAAAGCTTCTCAACATCGTTTAAGCAGAAGTTTTGCGCTGCAAGATTCGCCTCTTCGAGAGTCGTCGTCTTGTGCCCATTCAGGAAGTCCTGCGTCAGGCTTTGAGGGTTCGGCGATATCACCGGGTTCAGGATTTAGAGATCTGAATGCAAGTCCGATTTGAAAGCCCTCAGACTGCACAGATATCTTTCGGCTGAGGTCTGCCGGTGAGACTGTACTCCACTTAGAGAAATCAAGCAATCATGCTTTTCTTGAAGATCGCAGACCAACTACAAAAAGCTCACAAAACTCCATGTAAGTAGCGTACCTTTGGCTTCAATGTGTAGGATCCGATGTTGGAAGCCTTCATCCCCACTGAACCAGAAAGATGGCCAACACAAAACAACTCGGAAGCCTTGCACCCACGCAGGCCCCGAACCACGAACTGGTTCAATTTGGACGAGATCTGGACATTGTGAGTCGCCCTGCAGGCCTTTATCCCGGAGCAGCTTGCACAGGGTATTGGCTAATATAATGATTAATATAGTGTTCAGAATTAAGAAATTAGAGTGTTAAGTTTAAGCTTTAACATTTCGCGTCCGGTATGGCCCCAACGTGGCTGGGAGGATCCAGGACTTCGTAAGACTCGTGGCGGATTGGTGTATGTACCTTGAGCCTCGAAACCGTAACGTGAATGAACTCAACCTTTACTTAACTTACACCGGGCCCACAAGCCATGAAACTCAACACCGTGCCACTGAAGCTCGACACCGGGCCTTAAATGGATCCTTCAATGCTTGGGCCCAGCCCGTCAGCGAGGCAAACTCCATATGCTGGCACAGGATCAGAGGCTTGGGAGTCTTTGAGGTTCGGCTTAAAGCCAGTTCGGGGAACCAGGGTTCTTACGGCGAGGCTGGAAAGGAATTGACACGACGGCAACAGCGTAATGGTCTCTGTCATAGCTTGGGGGCTTGGGCTTGCCCTGTGTTTCAGGGTCCTTGAGCTGCTCGTTATCAGTTCAGAGTTTCGGAGCTGGTGTGACTTCGAATCATCTCTTGTCTTTCACTTGAAGCTTTTTGTGCAAACCTAATCAGATCCCACCGCTTATGGAGGTGCAAAGCAGTCGGTGTCGAATCATGTTCTCCTGAAGTGCTAGAATGCGCTACGGACTTGAATCGATGAGTCCCATGTTGTGGAGATGTGATTCTTCGGCTGAGAAGATGCGGGATGCAGGGAAACTTCGCCCGGTTTCGAGTTGTACTTCGCCGATCTTGACAACTCAAGCTTGGGACCTTCGGGTCATCATCTTTCGTTTCAAACCGGCTGGTCAGCTACTGCAGGGCTCAGCTGTTGGTCACTTGCGCTCATCACTGGAATATGCCCTTCGTGTTTGTTTATGCCAGAGGTCAGGGCTCCCTCTGTGTTTGGATCGCTGCCAGGCACCTACAGTCACAATGACTTACTCTCTTGCAGAATGCCCCGGCGGAGAGAGGCGTCAAAGTCAGTACTTGGCCGTTTTCCTGCTTACGGAAAATCAAATCGACCTGGTCACACTAGCTTGCCAGAAAGTATGGTTGACAAGTCAGCTCTGCTGCTCTGATGCGCCGATTGACGGCATGAGCTCGTTCAGGGTCGTTGTCTCTTTGATTGTCGATTCAGTTTTTCATACTGAACCTGAACACCTTGAGGTCATCATCCACGAAGCTAACTAGCTCGACGCCTCTGGGAAAGCGGACAATGCAGTTTCTGCCGGAGATCACTGACTGAGGACCATTGTCGTAAACCCGGACCTATACATCTATCCGGAGGATCAGAAGCAAGTTCTGCTCGATTTACTGAATCCCAGGCGCCTTCAACTAAACCATGAACCCAAGCCAACCAGAATATCAGCTTGAATGGCCAGCACAAGGCAGGTTTAACCCACATAAACTAAACAACAAGTGCAGCTTTCAGGATATAGCCCATGTGACACCCAAAACCCCAAAAGTTCAAGGTTGGACGTTGCTGGAAAAAAACTTCAATGTCATTGAAATTCCGGACCCTCTCAAGGAGCATATCCCTCATATCACCATAAAGTCTCGAACTCTGCACCTAGGCAACTCCTTGGAAGGTTCGCAATCTCTTACCGAGAACCCTTTAATCTTCTTGATCTCCGAAATCCTACAAGCTTCCGGACCCTTACGGTAAGCATTGTCTTAACACCCAAAAAAATCAGTGGGCTCTTGCTGCATAATTCAACATGACAGCAAATGAAATCTTTCCATACTACGGTAATTCCAAATACCTCACTTTCCTATTCATGTCAGACGATAAGCTAATCAGCTAATGTCTAGATCTTGAAACATCCGGTCCTGTAAAGATCACAGCAGAATGCACAGCAACAGCTAACAGTTTACCCTCCTTTGCAAGAGCCGACGCAAGCGTCTGGAGCCCCACAACTCGGGTTTTGGCTTTTGGTGTTTAGGTTTGTTGCGTGTGATTATTCAAGCATTGGAGTTGGACTTGTGTCGAGAGTTTTAGGGCGCCATGAAAGCCTTTCGAGGGTTTGAGATTTAGGCTCGTTCGGAAGTTCGGAAGCCCGGCTTTGAAATCCCCATGTGTTTCTGTTGTTCTTTCGCAGGAGGCTAAGGCGGCTGAGCGAATCGTTCCGTTGCGACACGTCTTGCATAGGCCTGATCTTGAAGTTCGCTGTTCTTGCAGGCTTTAGTTTACGATCTGTGCATTCTGCTGACCACTATACCTGAACTTCGGAGGTTTAAATCCTTCATCTCGGAGGACTGCGCCTGGAACTCTGCAGGCCTAAACAAGCCCTGGACACGAAATGAAATATGCGCACAATCGCATGCACACGCTACAACCTCATGCTCTCACAGCACTGTGTGCCTGGAACGCGTCCTGGTGGTACATTCCAATTCCGGCCACGGACTCAGCACAGCTGCAGGGGCTACAGATCTTTGAAGGCATGTAGCATGATAAATCTAAGCGCTTTCGACATCCTGAAAGCCCAACCCCTGACAAAAGTCTAAGTACATGGATACCCACAAACACACACAACACACACATTGCAACATGCAGATGTATAATATGAGCATGTGCATATAAGCATTGTGTGTGTATGTATCTGCATCTTTATCTGTATCTGTATATGTATATGTATCTGTAGATGTGCATGTCTATGTGTATGTCTATGTCTGTGTGTATGTGTATGTGATTATATGGATATGCATATTCATATGCATTTTCATATGTAAATGCATATGTAAATGCATATGTATATGGCAACCCCCCATGAACTACCGACCCTCGCTTTGTATCGTAAATACCGTGTCACACCAGCTCATTTCCGATCTCCAGCAGGTCTGGATTCTGTATCTCCCAAAGACTACCAAAATCGAACACATATTTCAAGAGAACGTGCCAGGCAGCTCGTTCTGGCTCGACGTGAGCACGCTGTCAACGACTACACAGTGCTCTTCCACGTTGGTTAGACGAGAGCATGTGCTCAACGGCAACATTGTGCTCTTCCAATCAAACAACAACTTTTCGTAGGGAAAACAAAGAAACATCTTTGAACACGCTATACGGCCAAACCCTGACAAGATTAGTTTTTTTAGTCTTTTCCTAGGCAACAAACGGGTTTGGCGAGGAAAACAAACTTTTTCCTAGGAAAAATATGGTGTTGGCGAGAAAAACAACTATTTCCGATGAACAACAAAAAACAATCGCTTGGTAAACTATACGGCCAGACTCCGAAAAGACTATGTTTTTGGTTTTCCTCTAGAAAAAAACTGTTTTCCTCCCCAAAACCATCTTCTTCCTAGGAAAAAGCTGGATTTCCTGCCCAAAACAATGTCTTTCCTACGAAAAAGTTTGTTTTACTACCCAAAACCGCTGTTTTTGACAGGAACAAGGTGGTTTTACTGCCCACAACCATTTCTTTCCTAGGAAAAAGATTGGATTTCCTGCCCAGCACCATTGTTTTCGGAAAAAAACATGGTTTTTGTTGCCCACAACAATTTTTTCTAGGACAAATTTAGTTTCCCTACCCAAACTCATATTTTTCATAGGAAAAACTGAATTTTTCAACTTTTTACTAGAAAACATTTAATTGTCCTGCCCAAAACCATTCGTTTCAATGCAAAGTTGGTTTTCATATTCCAAACCATTTTTGCTGAACAAATCTTTTTTAGTAGCTTAAAGTTTGTGTTTCCGCCCAAAGCCGATTTCTGCCTAAGGAAAACCAAAAACATCTTTTTGGAATTTGGCCGTATCATTTCGCAACAGATGTGAATAGCTAGACAAAAGTTGGCTGTCCCTACCAAAACCAGCTTTTTCCCAGGAGACAGTTTGCTTTTCGCGCCAAAACCATCTTTTTCCGAGGAAACCCTGGTATTTCACTCTAAGACCAAGTTTTTCCTAGCAAAGGCTGTGTGTTGCATTTTTTGTTTGTGCGCGTTACGAATGGATGGGAACCTAAACCCTCA